ATCGGAATTATTATTTTTTTTTCCTTGGTTGCTGAGGTCAGATTTTTTAGTCAGTCCCCTGGTGTTTCAGGCTGATGTCATTTCTTGGCGGGCTTTGCGAGGAGTACAGCGTCGTCCCACGGTCGTGCGTCATCTCTGAAAAACGAGCCGCAGGGCTTGTGCGTGAGTGTCAAGGTTATTTTAACTTGAGGTTAGCCAACAGCTGCCTGCCAGAGCGAACAGCGCAAGCCCAGCCACCCCTCTGTCCTGCCCTGGCACATCCACCGTGCCAGGGGACACAGGGTGCCCTTACCCTGGTTTCGGGCTTTCCGATCCGGAGGAAATGCCAGCAGGGAATGTGTGATGGCTTGGTCTGTCCAGCTCTCCAGGCTGCGTTAATTGTTGGTTGAGCCGAGAGTATCCCCTAGTTGTTGCAGGTTTAGCGCTCCCAAGGGCGGTGGTCCGATGGACTTTCCAGTTGGCAGCATTGGGGCAGCAGGCTTTCCCGTGGGACAAGCAAGGTGGGATGTGCCTCGTTTTCTGCATGCCCAAGGCTGGCAGTATCTTTCTACTCGAACTTTTCTTTATACGGTTGGAAAAACTAGAGGAGCTTTCCAGTGCATAAGCCAAAACTGTTTGGTTTTGGAAACAAATGTGAGTTGAGAACGATAGCTTGGAGTTCAGTGTATTGGTGTGGACCGTATGCCTGAGGATGTTGGCTGTTTTGAAAGTACTAGTGGCTGGGAATCTGCAAGAGCCTGTGCCCTGGAAAGGATCTTAACTTTCTTTGAAAGAAGCACTTTTGGACTTCTTTGGTTAGCTCCGTGGAGGAGCATCTTGTGGCATCTCAGCAGCTGTGCAGCCCCCAGAAACTGCGAGAGATCTCGTGTTTGGTTCTGACCTCTCTCTCCTCCCTCTTTCCCATTTTTTCTGAAGCTTACTGTTCTGGGATTTTCCAGACGAAACTCATGAGTTCCTTATCTTTCTTATCACCATAACGCTCTATTAATAACTAATAAATAAGAAACTGCTAGCTTCTGTAAACACCTTTTTTCCTTTTGTGTGAGCAACAGGTGCTTGCTGCTCATGTAACGCTTTGGAAATCTCCAAAGGAACAGCAGCTGGCAGTTAACTTGCTAAATGTCGTTTTCTGAACTGGTTTCCCTCTTCCCCTCTTTTCCCTCTCCCTGTGCTTTAATCTTCTTACAAAACTCAGAAATTTCCTGCTATCCAAGGGAGATTATTGCTTTACATTTGAACACATGTTTGCTTTATACTAATCCCTTGCACTGCAACCAATTAGTTTAAAACCTGTCCTTCAGAAATGACCCTGGGTTGTATGGTTCTGTTAGGTAAAGGAGCTGGGTGCGTAGCTTCGGAGTCCTCTGCCTATCGCAAAGTTACAGACATTTCAAAATCAAGCAAATGCGAACGAAGTGATATCCCTGGCTGCTGCTGCTCTCACGCGTATGCTTTTTTTTTTCTTTTTCTTTTTTTTTTTTTAAGGTGTGGGACAACTCCTGCTTTCTGTCAGGTTTTGATTGGCTTGCAAAAGAGGCAGTGTCCTATAAATTGCCTTCTCCGCTCTGCTTCTGCTCTATCGCCAGCTGAGGGACAGGTGAGTACAGAAGAGGAAAAATTTCACTGTATATTGCTTAATCCTTGAAATTAATGTTGGTTGTCAATTTAAATTAGTGGGGTGGGGGAAATAACTTCCATGTTTCAGGATAAAACTTCCTCACTTTACTTGATCTAGAAAACAAAAGAGCTAGTTTCTAATATCAGTTTGGGTCAACGAGTGAAAACAGGGACTGAGAAACTACTCAGAAGGTAATATGGGGGGGGGTTTGAAGAAATAGATATACTTTTTTTTTCTCTCCAGTTCCTAATGGTACAGAATTATTCCTCTTTGGGATAGTAAGAAAGAGAAACCTATAAAAAAAATTAAGTTGTTTTACGTCAGTTAAATGAATACTTTTTGTGTTCAGAGCTGTTAATAATTTCTTGAATTTATTTAAAATGGGAAACTACGATCTAGCAGAATGGGCTTTTCTGTCCAAGTTGCTTTTGTGAGTTAATCGCTGTGTTGGGGCTACCTTTATCTCATGGTTGGTTTGGGGAAGTGTTTTTAAGTCATACTGTTAATTTCTTTATATATCTGTGCATTTGTTGGCAACTTTACAATTTAATAACTAGTTACACCATTCCCCTTCATATTTGAAATGTAAATAAGTACATGTCATAGGTGGGATTTTTGCATGCAGCTGTCCTGCTTCTTGAGCTGGGGATTTTTCAGTCTCTGGTATAAAATGTGCTTACTGTTCTTTTGAGTCAGCCTAGACTTGCAAGTTAATTCTCAGCTTAAGCCTGTGTGGTTTCACTGCGGGTGTGTTTGGAGAAACCAGTCCAGTCGGTGGGAAACCAAACTGATCCTAGTGTGGCATTTTTAGTAGCAACTAACTTTAGTTTGTGCTTTGTTTATAGAGCTCAAAATGAAAAATGACTTTTTGGGTACTTTAGTGGGAAATTTTCTGCAACAGAGACCAGTGAGGCTGTCTTAGTGCTGTAGGAGTTGTTTATGGTCCCATACTGAAACAGGAGGGGATTATTGTGGCTCTTTAAAGGACTAACGCTGCCCTTTAGCACTCTTACGTTGGTTTCCTAGGGAGATACAATGTCTTAGGAGATTGAATTGTCTGAATATATCTGCCTGCTGCCTTCTTCCCCTGCACACCTAACAGTTTATGCACCTATTGGCTAATTTCAAGTAAGTTTGACAGGGGTTGAGTCTCAAAAATAGCAAGAACGTGTCTGTTTTGTGAAGGTGGGCTTGCAGGAGAGGGAAATCTCATTAGTACCTTGGCTGTGCATCAGAGAATGGTTGTGGTTGGAGGGGACATCTGGTCCAGCCTCCTGCCCAAGCAGGGCCACCGAGAGCCGGTTGCCCAAGACCACGTCCAGTTGGCTGTTGAAGATCTCCAAGGACGGAGACTCCACAACATCCCTGGGCAACCTGTGCCAGTGCTCAGCCACCCTCACAGTAAAAAAGTGTTTCCTGATGTTCAGAGAAACCTCCTGGGTTTCATTGTGTCCCCACGGCCTCTGGGCCTGGCACTGGGCACCACTGAAAAGAGCCTGGCTCCGTCCTCTTTGCACCCTCCCTTCAGGTATTTATGGACGTTAATAAGATCCCTCCCTGAACCTTCTCTTCTCCATGCTGAACAGTCCCAGCTCTCCCAGCCTTTCCTCGTAGGAGAGATGCTCCAGTCCATCATCTTGGTGGCCCATCAGCAATATAAGCTGAATTGTACTAATCAACGCTCGAGAATCAAGATAGGAGAAAGATACCATAACCCCTTAGATAGCAGTTAGTTACCTCTGAGATTGAGTCCTCAGGAAATGGGGCGTCTTCACTTTCAGCGCTCAGGAATACGTTGTTTGCTCTACTTTTGTAGGTGGAGTTAGATATGTAGGTATATAGGGTTGGTCTATAACAAGGAATTGCAAGAGCCCTGTGCAAAGCCTGGAGAAGATGAAGTGATTGCTGCTGTAGCACTGTGACAGGAGAGGTAGAGCTTTAATGGCTCAAGCCTGTAATCAGGGAGACTGATCCCTCTAATGGCTTTGTGGCTGGGAGGTGCAGCAGAGGCTTGGCTAATTCATCAGGATACTAATTGACCATGCTTCTGAAGGCAATAAACAAGTAAGCAAATGAGTCTAAGGGAGAGGGGAAAGACACATCTCAGAATAAGTCTCTTTGATCAGTTTAAATATGCAAATGCGCTTTTTAATAATGCGCTTTTTTTGGGGGGGGGGTATCTTATTAAGCATGTGATAGGTAGTTTTAAATAGCAGGACTCCCTAAAGTATCAGAAAATTCTCAGCCTCATGTGTTGCCATAAGTGAAAGGAACACTCACGTTAATTACTTGTTTGCTTTTCTGTGCATACAAGAATTGGTAGCGCTGGAATTCATCTGCAGCAATTAGCTACCATAATTTCTTGTTGTGGCCTTCCTTCTCCCCAACTCTTCTTTTTATAGTACGTGCCACAAGAACACAGATGAGAAAGGTATTGACAGGGTAATCTCAAGGAAGCTAGTTTGAAATATGTTTTCCTTCCCCTGGGAATTTGGTTATTCTAGGACTTTGGGAAAGAGAGTTAAAAGTTGTTCGAAGGGGGATAAAGAATGTAAGTGATTGTGCCTTAAGAATTGTATTTGAAAGAAGTAAACTGGAACCTCAGAAAAGACCAGTTGTGGATGCATGTGTGATTTATTTGGGGTATATTCTTCTCCATTTCCTTCCCCAATATGAAAGATTTGGAGAGAAGAAACCCAAACTTGTATGTAGCTCAGGATAACTTACGGATATTTTTGCCATCTGTTATTATAAGTGAATCATGTCGGTTTTTTTGTGAAATACTTGGGACGTTTTCATGAGTCCTGGGGAAATACTGATTCTGCTTTGTTTGCTTCCTGGGTACTGTCTGTCATGCGTATTAAGTTTAAGCAAAACGGTGCTCTTTAAAGAGATTTACTGATGCCTCTGGCTTAGCTGAATCTTGCTGATGCAATACTAAGAAGGTTTGCTTACTCATGGCAGTCTAGCAGACTTTCACTGAAAAGTACCTACAGTGAAGCTGTGTAATCGCAGCAGCTGAACTTGTTGAATTCTGTATTTGTTGTCTTTTGTGCTTGAAAACATGGTTTCTACTGGCTGTTTTAAAAAGGCTTAAACTTGAACTATATTCTCACTGTTCATTATACTGGACTCTGTGCTGGGGCTGAGGATATTTTCTTGAGCTCACTCTGGTGAATACATTACCTCTATTCATGTTACTTCACAGGCTGCTTCTAGTAGACGTGGCTCTCAGTTGGCATGTCAGCTAGGACTTGGATTGCATCAAACTTCCCTGAAACCCTTTAGAATTTTCTAAGGGAGTGTTTAAAATGTTTAATATGGTTGAGTCATTTGTGACGAATCTTTTCTCTTGTTCTCACAGCATATTTGAAGGAGGAAGATGTCAATTGTCAAAAATGTGAGCAGAGCTGTCAGCCAGCTGCTACAGAGCTCTGGTTGTGGATGTGGGATTTCCATCGTGCCTGTTCGATGCATTGGAGTCTCACCACGCCAGGTGGCCTCCGATGCCAGCTTTCACTCGGTTTCTTTTTCCGAGTCTGATCATCCTCGGGTGCTAATTACAGGTCAGCATTCCTGTCATAACTGTATTCCTGCTCCAGCTTCTCAGCGGAGTACTCCCATTCCCCTCCTCCCTCCCTGATGAGCAGAATACTGGAAGCAAAAATACTGAAAATATTCTGGGATTGTGATGATCTTTCCCATATGGTGATAAGATCGGAGTCCCGTGTGAACTTTCCTAATATTTTTATTCCAGAGATCTACTAAAACCAGTTCATGGGGTTTTCCTTGAGAAAAATTATAAAAGCTTTCTGATTTGCTGAGATAAAAAGTACTCATTTCCGATATGATGCGTATAATAATGGAACTGTATATTTTGATTTCTGTTTTTCTCTGATTTTATCTCTTGTGTGTTGCCTTTTAGGTGGTCTTGGCCAGCTTGGAGTGGGACTTGCTAAGCTTCTGAGGTATGTCATGATTCCCTGACTTGCTATTAGTGAGGAATTCAAGCTTTAGCCATCACTTCTAGAAGCAATAATTTTCTGGGAAGTTGTTTATAAAAGAATCCTAGTGACAATTGCAGATTGTTTTTTGCCTCTTAGTTTTGTAAATAACTTTAAATTTTCACCATCTTCTTAATTTTTTGCTCCTGTGCTTGGTTTAGGTTCACTGACGTACTTTCTGTGTGTACATTGGTCACGATTCCCAAAATAACATAATTTTGTCTAAGGGACTAGCCACTGAGTTCAGTTTGCTTGTAGTTAAATGGAAGTATTCAGAATCTGAATCCTCAGAGGGTGGTCAGTTTTCCTTTTCTCTCTTTTGGTCTAGCCAAATAAAGCTGGATTTGAGTGCTCAATAAAGAGACAAAGTCTGATTTTATGCAGAGACTACAGGAGAGAGAAAAGTAGAAACATCCACATGAAAAAATACACAGTCCTTTGCTGACTACCAAGCTGTTGAGCTTTGCAACTGGTGACTTTTATCTCTCTGAGAATGTCAGTTAAGAAACTTCAGGAATAAGGTGCCCTATTTAGTAAAGTACAAACAAAAGTAAAGATTAAGATACAAGATCTTGAAGTTTTTATGATTTGGTGAAAGATGAACTGATGCAGCAAGAGGAGTAAATAGAAAATATATTTCTTCTGACTCTTTCTGTTCCCCCACTTCACATATTACGGTGACCTTATTTTTTCCATGGTATCTTTTCAAGAAACATAAAATGTTCTGAGAGCTCTCCCTGGTCCATATCGTTGTCCATATCCACACCAACTCAGCTCCAGAGTATCATTTGCAAAAAGACAGCGTTTGTTGCAGAGGATTTGGACTGTGACCAAAAGTGAGCAAACTCACTGCATTTGACGCTTGCAGTTTGAATGTTTTCTACCATTTCTGTGATACATTTAAAAATCATCCAAATAATGGAAGTCTGGGATGTACTCCAGTGACAACAGACTTACTCTCTGCTTTCTGCTTCTCTAATCAACACAAGGCTGTTGCAGAGAGCAAGTCTGATGGCATTGGAGTATTTACTTTGTTGACGTAAAAGTAGCTGCAGTTACAGCAAGCCCAGTGGCTTTTTTGTTGTCTGCAGGGAAGTAGATTATCTCTGGTTAAAATTGTCAGAAAGAAGAGGATAGGATGGTCTTTCTTCTCAACGTATTTTCATTTTCTAAAAGATTTCTCTGTCCTTATGCAGTCTTTCACTGCTGCCAGAAGTAGTTTACTAATTTTCTAAGATGCTGTATTGATATTTAAAGGATTGCTGGAGGTTTTTCTTTAGTGGAATAACTGATTTCATTGTGGAAATTATTGTTCTTCTGATATTGCTCCTGCAAAACAAAATAGCAGCACAGCGATTTATGAATTATCTTGAAGACTGTGGACTCACTGTACCATGTGGATATTTTTACACAGGAAACGCTTTGGAAAGAACAATGTGATCTTGTCTGACATTAGAAAGCCTGCCGATAATGTTTTTTATAGTGGTAAGTGACTGAGGAAGCATATGGGAAAAAAAATCTAGACTTTACCTCTGATGTTGCTAGACTAATTACCAAAGTCTAAATGATAAGTGGATTAAACTGAACAAGTTGCTGTTTGGAACTTCTGCATAATGCCTTCCTGCTTTGAAATCTTGCCAAGACATTGATTTCTTCTGTATGTTATTCCCTTTTTCTAAATATTTTTCTTAGCAACAGTGAAAAAATGCATTGCCACTTTGTTGACCAGAATAATTACTTGAGTTGAGCTGAGCTTGGCTGTTGTGCTCCTACTGTAAAAAGGGATGCATTTATTCTTTTGGAGGGAACAAGTTTGAAATTAAATTTGTGCTTTGTTTTTACATGCTTGGGCAATTTTTATAGTAAGATGGATGTAGAGTAGGATTTCTGGATTCTTTTATTTTCATTAGAAACTTGCATAAGTCTTTCTTTGTTGTTGCTGTTTAATGATGTATTTAGGTATTTGAATAGTGTACACTAGATGTTCCTTGTTTTCATGCTGTTGACTGGATAAAATGGGAGTTCTTGCATCAGTCTGTTATTGAGGTAAAGGTAGCAGTTTCCCGTAATTTCTCTTGCTTATTTACTAATTTATTGACCGCTACGGTTAGGTGTGCATTCTCCTTTGTGGTCAAATCCTGAATATAGGTATGGTCAAGAAGCAGCAATTTGTAGAACTTTTTGCATCTACTCTTCTTGGCATTCAATTTCCTACTGGTTCCATTTCTTCTAGGTCCTTTTATCTACGCGGATATCTTGGACTACAAGAATTTACGTGAGATAGTGGTGAATAATCGGATAACTTGGCTGTTCCACTATAGCGCTTTGCTCAGCGCTGTTGGAGAAGCAAATGTCCCTTTGGCCAGAGCTGTAAATATCACTGGTATGTGACAACGGTTTCAAGTTCATGACTCCTACAAAGGCTTGAGAAAGTGCAGCGTATGTTCTGATAAATCCTGTTTGTTGCAGGTTTACACAATGTTCTGGATATTGCAGCTGAGCATAATTTGAGACTCTTTGTTCCAAGCACTATTGGAGCCTTTGGGCCCACCTCTCCTCGAGATCCAACTCCTGATCTCTGCATTCAGAGACCAAGGACAATCTATGGAGTCTCCAAGGTTCATGCTGAGCTCATGGGAGAAGTGAGAATTTTTTATTTTATTTATTTCATGAAAGTTCTGGGAGAACTTCATTGCTTTTTTAAGATTCCTCACTGCAGTGTTCTTTTCCCCATTCTTTCCTTCCTTCGGGCTTTAGTACTCAATAGTAGTCTGAGGCAGCTCTTAAGGACAAATGTCTTTTGAGTTTTATTGGGAAAAATACAAAGAATTGGAAGCTGGCAAACATCTAACTTTCAATATCGTTTCTTTCCATGGTTCTTTAGACTTTGGCCTCTCTGCCTCATCTGCCAATATAATGGCATTGCATAAATGACAGTGTACAAAGCCTTGTGAAAGCATGCTAGACAATGATGACTTTTGTCCCCTTCCCCAAAAAAAGACCTTAAAATCAAAGCTGAGGGAGTCTATACATGCACAACTTCTCTTTTGGCTTTTTAGATTTTTTTTTTTATAAACATAACATTGTTAAAGCTGGTATTTTTACATAAATTTCAAGTGTGAGGAAACTGTATGAAGGACAGTGGCAGGTCTGAAGACTGTTAACCTGAGAAGTCTCACAAACTTAGGAATTTTCAGTTTCTGAACACTAGATCTAGACCCTACATGAGAAGCCAATCCATATGTACTGATATGGATGTAAACTAGAAAAGGGCAAGCAGGGAGATCAGCTGCCTGGTGGCGAACAGCGACTGTTCAGTAGTTCCTTTTCTTTCATCCCTGTCATGGCATGGCTACAGCATGAAAGTTCATCCTGTGGCAGATTTTTCCTGTGAAATCAATGAGTTGTGTGGTCTAGTCTTGATGCATAAAGCTGTGTTTCTCTCCTTCCTCCATAGTACTACCATTACCGGTATGGCCTAGACTTCCGTTGCCTGAGGTATCCAGGAATTATATCTGCTGACTCTCAGCCTGGTGGGGGAACTACTGGTAAGTGGTTTGTGCATAGTTCTTGGTATTGCAGGCAAGAACAGCAAAAACAAGCCAGTGCAGTAATTTTTAATGTGTTTGTAGATACTTAATCTGTGGCAGTATAGAGTATTAGTGTAGAGATGCTATTTCAACAGCGTTACAACAATACTTTTGTCCACTCCAGTCTAGGGCATCATTTCCTAGTCTTTGCCTTTAAGCAGTATCAGAGATTTTTGGATTAATTTCACCCATTTACTTTAAAAATATTTTAAACTCTGCTGTCTTGCTGCAATGTGGAAGTGCTAGAAGAACATCAGGATAGTTCAGAATGACTTACACACTCCTGCTGTACAATGTAAATAATACACAATTCTACTGCTAGATTTTAGATGGGAGACTTTTGGGGTGGTCTGAGGATTGTTGACATGAAGGGAATGACAGATTGACGTAGAGGAGTACACACATCCATTGTTCTCTTCTACAGATTATGCTGTCCAAATTTTCCACGATGCCGTAAAGACTGGCAAATTTCAATGCAACCTAAAACCAGACACTCGCCTCCCTATGATGTATATTGATGACTGTCTGAAAGCGACTCTAGAGGTCATGGAGGCCCCTGCAGAGGCGCTGAGCATGAGGACATACAACATCAGTGCCATGAGTTTCACTCCTGAAGAGCTGGCGCAAGAGGTGCAGAAGCATGTTCCTGAGCTCCAAGTGACCTACAATGTGGATGAAGTCAGGCAGGCCATAGGTTAGTATCAGCTTCTTTGGCAGTGGATAAAAAAGCCATAGTGTTAGTCTGCTATACGTTAAGGGCAAAACAAAGTTTCTTTTCTTTTCAGGCACTTGCAAATTGCTTCTGTACAGTTCAGGTCTTATGGTTTGAAATTCAGCTTTAGTAGTTAAAATGGCCAGTGATGATACATCTTAAAGTTTAAAGAAATTTTTCTTAAACCTTATGCTCCTTGTTTCTTCTTTCTTTTCGCTGCAGCCGACAGCTGGCCGATGAACTTTGATGACAGGAACGCCCGGAGGGATTGGGGTTGGAAGCATGATTATGATCTCCCTGAGTTGGTGACTACAATGTTTAGCTTCCTTGGGTCTGACTCCAGGATTGCTCAAGCTAACTGAAATACTTTGCAAGATGTTTCCGGATTTCCACAGAGGACCAGGAAGAAATGGCTAAATTAGTTTATAATTTTCTGAGTCTTAGAGCATGTCAATTAATAATTTTCGTACGTAGCAATAGAGTTGGGCAGAAACATACTGTAGCTGGAATGTACTGTTAGATAAACAACATCGTTTGGTACTGTCTGCAAGCACAGCACCGATGACAAACACAGAATTCTTGAACTTTCACACTTAAGCAGCTAGAAAGAAAAAAAAAACAGAACCAAAACCCAAAAAAACCCCACTTACTCCTGGCTAATGGCTCTCCGGTCATTCCCGCTGCCTGCCTCTTCTTTGGCATACAACATGGGGCAGTATCGTCAAACCTGGTGTTTTGGGCATATCCCGCAAAATTAACGATAGGTTTTTCATTTTCCTGGTGGAGGATGTTAGATTGTAGTAAGATATGATCCTTTCTACTGTTTGCTTACAAAAGAGAGATCAGAAGAGCTACTTCATGTTTCCAAATTGCAGGGGTCGTTGCAATTCTAGTTTGAAATCAAACTTTGGTCGATAGTTCCTATTTATATATATATATATATATAGCGCTGTATAAACATACACTTTTCTATACTTAGGGCATACAAAGTAGCGTTATTCTTATAATGCTTAGAAATGTGAAGGAGAATAGCACTTGAATTCTCATTATGCTCTAAAAAAATCAGGGTTTACAAGGTAAGCTTTGTCCTGTTCTTTGAAAGCGCTGCTGCCTTGAGTTTAACCTCAGAGGTAGATCTGAAATCCAAAGAGCTGTTACGTGTATGTGAATCTGGGGCGTATTTCAAGAAGGTGATGCCCCAGTAGGGGTTTATTGTTAATTAGCACTACTTTTGGTTATCCCAGTTGTTTGCCGTGCTAGCACGACGACGTACTGCCTGGAGCAAGTTTTAAAGGTGGGCTGATGAGGGAGCCTTATGGTAGACTCAAGTCAGCCTTTGAAATCTGTTCACGTTCACTACATTTTCCATGTGCACTCTGAGTGTATTTGTAGATGCTGTTTATGTTTAACTGTCATACGCTTGTATTCTTTAGAGAGGGATCCAGAAGCTGAAACCATCTTCTAGCTACAGTTAAGGACTGTTCTGGTCACTGAGTTTCATGCACAGGAGATTTTGGGATTAACAAGGGAGTCTTAGTAGATGCATGCAAGGAAGGTATGTCTATTCAGAAGCTACTTAGGAGAGTTTGCGAAATTACAAACTGGAAAGACAGGAAAACCATTTTAGGTAAAATAACAGTTTCCATGGATGTGAATCTGAGCCATCGGCTACTGTAGCTATGGCATGCCTTGCAAAACAGCATCTGGGAATTTGTGATTTTATTTTTTTTCAAAGAGAAAATATCTTTGATTTTCAGAATGACTGGAAATTCCCTGTATGAAGCTCTCCATCTTTTTTGCCTTGTATACTCCAATAGTGTATGTAGGTAAACACGTTCAAGTATTTTTTTTTGCCTCCAACTTGTTTGTCCCATTTTCTGTGATGATGCTTTGGCAGTTGCGAGTCTGTTACGCTCCCTGTAGCCCTGCAGTGTTTCCTCAGTAAGTGGGTGACTGACATGACCAGATTTCTGTCTTTGTGAAGCAGTCTACATGCTGCAGGGATTATGTTTTCTTATGAGAGTAACCTTCAAATGAAGATTCTGTAGTGAAACCCAGTTATTTTAAATGTTTGTTCGACTTGTATCTCTTGGTTTTGTATGTATCTTGTTTCATCTGTTGGCCAAGTATGCGTTTCCCAGGTATTTAAACTCAAAAACCTCTAAGGTTGTGGCCTGTTACTGAAACATTTTTATATTGTTTACATTTCTGAAAAGACAAGTTTTTAAACTTTGGCCGCTGTTGTAACTGTCACATTGTTCAAGTGTAGTATTTGGCCCAATGGGCCAGTAAAGTTGGCCCCCCATTCATACCCTACAAGGAAAGGCTGGCTCAGGTTTTGTCCTCTGCCCTGCCAAACCAGGATTATCTCCTAGTGAACTGGTACACTGAGCCATCAGATGAAGGGCTTTAATATGAGCTGAAGCGTCTTGTCCATTCCAGTCTCTCATAATTCAGACCCTGGGGACTCCTCATTGCCTCCGTTCCGTGAGACGTGTAAAATAAAGAGCTGTTGACGCGTCTCACTCTGTTTCTTTACTTCACTCAGTTATGGAGTCTGCTCCCCTCACCCTTGTTCAGAGTTCCAGTTAACACTGACAAGAGTGAAGAGCAAGAATGTTCTTTCTTCTGAAGCATGCTGTTGTGGCATTGCACAGAAGCTTTGGATAAGGTGTTACAGCAAAGGTGAAACTCAAACCTATGGCATTTGGAACAAAATTTCCATGCCAAAAGTTGCTGACTTTGTTTAGGAGCAGCCTTTTAAGAAACTTCCATTTTGCAAGATCTGAAATAAACCGTATTGCAATAGAGAGTTGTTTGCAGGTAATAATGCGGTGATAATCAGGGAATGTGATTAGATGTGTCTGCAAGGTCTGAGTCCTGTTTGAAATTCTGGTTTTCAACCTGTGACCAATGATGCGTATATTTTTTTTCTGTATCTTCCCTATTAACTTCTGTTGTAACTGTGTTACAGTGTTTTCTGTATTAAACCAATTTGATGCGGTACAAAATGTCTAACTTTTGCTACCAGTTTGAAGTTTGACTTCTGGGCAGAGACTTCTCTCATGATGTCTGAGCATTGTAGCTGTCAAATTACCTATTCAGGAAAAAAAAAAAAAGGTTGTTAAGAATATTTTTTTCAAATATTTTAAGTTGTGGGTGATGCCTACTTTAATAAAATCCTATGCAGATGTATCCTTGTCTTGTCATCCTTGTTTAGAGCGTGTAAGAGCAGTGATGAAGGATGCTGGTTGGTGCTGAAGCCTTTTCTTCAGCAGCAGAAGCGATGCATGATTTGAAGCACAGAGGAAGGTAGAGCCCCCCCCAGTCTGGGCAGTGACTCTCAAACATTTGTATATATGTTTAACTTTCTGCTGATTATTCCAGTTGCTCTGTGTAGCAGACGATCGCTCACAGGCAGATACAGCACGGTTACCCTTTAATCTTCAATGAGCCACTAAGCAGGTGTATGGGCTCTGCTTGTAGATGGCAGCTGTCCAACAAGTGCTGACTTTGAAATATTTCTCTGTCACTTCTAGATTTCTTACCCCTTTCTCATGTTGAGCAGCCAGTTGGTCTGTCTTCAGCCATTTTTCTGTCTCTCTTTACATCCGTGCAGCTTTGAAATTGCAAGAAAAGAGCAACGGTGTTCTGAGGAAGGAGCCTTACAAAACACAAACCAGGAATTTAAGATTGCAGGGTTCTCATTTCTGCTTCTGTGCTGGTCTTGACTCCAGCTGTTGCGCAACCAGTGATGTTGGTCATCGGGAGAAGTTTGTGCAGGCATGAATGAGAATGAGTGTGCTCCTAATAACTTACCGTGGGCCTGCCCTGCCTTGTTAATGGATGAATAAACACTCCCTTCAGGTTAATCGAGGCCTTTCCCTCCTCCTACACCTCAGCTCTCTAATGATGGGAACTTCTTGTGGAGGAAGTGTTCCACTTGACCATGATTTAATGACTAATGCAACCATTATGTTTCTTGCAGAACGGGTGAGGGTGTTGCAGCACCGTGATCTTTCCAGCTACTTCACTTTGATAATTAGTTTGACTCTTGTTTACACATGCTCAGTCTGGCTTCTGTGAGTGCTGTAGGGGATGGTGCATCATCCAAAGCTGCTGGAGCTGAGGAGAGGATCACCATTACCTTTCAGGTCCTTCAGGCCCTGCAAAAACAACTATTCCACTTTTCCCATTTTCCCTCCACCCCATTCTTCAGAGATTTAAGGATATTTGACCCTGTAATCACATGCGTGCAGCAAAACCAAGAGCCCCCTAACCTCTTATGCTTTTAATTCTCAGATTTACTTCTTGCTGGCTTGCCTTGGAGTCAGCAATCAGCTTCGTTGTCCTCACTTTGCTGTTCCCATGTAAGAGGGAATGCACAGAGCTGAGGCAATGCTGACACCGTCGTTATCAGTAGGTGTACACTAAAAAGCTTTGAAGAAAGGGGCTCTGCTCCTTCTTAAGGTGTGAGCACTGATGGAACATGCTTGTTCAGCTTCCCCCGAGGTTTTGAAGTCGATACTGAACTACGTGTGTCTGTGGCAATGCGCTATTAATATCCAGACTGCTGAGTTTGAAACAGGGCCTGGGGAAAGGGTCTTTCTGTCGTGCTGAAAGTCACCACCTGAGGCCGGGATAGAAATGCAAATCGTGCCTGGGTCTGGGTCCTATTGCAATGATTAATTCCCAAAATGTTAAACTTAGTTTCTTTGTTTAAGCCTGTACAGACACAGCTGCTTTCCGCTCTTGGCTGCTTAAGACATTGGAGAGAGGTCCAGAAGAGGAGGAACCTTCGTTCCTCAGTAAAACAGTGCAAGGGCTGCAGGCGATTCATCTCTGTGCTTTTGGAAAGCACCTCCTTTTGCTCCTCAGGACGGACTCGGGCTCTAACGTACCATTTGTCGGGATATGGTTTGTCAGTAGCTCTGCGTGCGTCCAGGGAATAGAAGTCAAGCCCGGGGAGGTGGAGAGGAGAGCACCAGGGTTAGCCAGAGGCCAGGAGCATGGCTCCGGGGGCTGGGACGCCCACCTTGCACCCCTTTTCATGACACCTCATGTTTCAGGCAGGGTTGGGGGTTTTCCTGACACCCTTGAGGCAGGCTGTTTCTATTTTAGGTGAGCATTAGCTGGCATTGCAAAACCTTTGCCCTTCTCCTGGAGGCTCGGGCCAGACGAGCGCTCTTCAGGCTATTTTTGGCTTCATACCATAATTGTATGTGATCCTAAATTTGCCGTGGGTCTGAGTGCCTGTGGCATGCTGGGGCTGAGGGGGTGTGCGCACGAGGTGAGTGGGCTTGCATATACCCGCTGGGTAGCAATGTCACAAGAACTGTTGCTGTCCTTCCTGGGTGCTTCAGTTATATCACACGGGGATGGCTGTGATGATGGCTAACTGTTCAAGCCAGGGGCAGCTTCTGGAATAAAATCGGGTGTTTAAAGATGACTGTAACCCCATCGAGCAGCTAAGAGAGTTGGCATTTTGCCAGCAGAGACAGGAGTCAGAAGACATTTATGCTTGAGCAGCACCGTTGTGGAACTCAAATCTGGA